ATACATCTGAAGAATCCCAAAACACTAATTGGAAAGACTATATGCACCTGATGTTTATGTATAATCACCAAGATAAGGAAGCAACCTAAGTGCCACGTGGACAATAGACAAGTGGATAAAAAAGTGGTGGTTATATTCAATGGGATATTACACAGCCATAAAAAAGAATGAAACCATGTGTAATGGTATGGATAAACCTAGAGTAAGCATGTTAAACTCAAAGGCCAACACAGGCCAAATAAAAAAGGTTTAAGTTTATGTGGGCTGCAAAAAAAACAGAAGCTTCAATTTTCATAGAAACATAGGTTTATTTAGAAAAGTATAGAATAAAAAAAAAAGAACAAGAACAATGATAAAATTCATGTTTTCTTCTTAACACTTGGCATCTCTTCTCTGCTGCTATCTTTCCTACTTCGGGGGAAATCTTGTTTGCAGTGATTACTTTCAAAACTGACCCAAGGTGAATGTCAGTAGTTCTGGATCTGACAGGAGACTTATTTCCTTTCATAATTGTAAATAACTGCTCACACCGTTAAATTGGCAGGGCCAAAAAAATATTCATTGTGGGCCACATGTGGCCTGTGTTTGACATGCTTGACCTAGAGGGTATTATGCTAAATGAAATAAATCAGACAGAGAAATGTAAAGACCATATGACTTCACTTAAATGTGAAATCTAAAGAACAATATAAGTGAACAAATAAAATGGAAACAGACTAGTAGTATAGAGAACAGACTGATGAATTGCCAGGGAGGAGTGGGAATGGGGACTAGGTGTAAAAGTGAAGGAATTATGAAGTATAAATTAGGCCCTAGCTGGTTTGGCTCAGTGGATAGAGCATTGGCCCTTGGTCTGAAGGGTTCTGAGTTTGATTCTGGTCAAGGGCACATACATTGGTTGCATTGGCCCTGATTGGGGTGCATGCAAGAGGCAACCAATTAATGTGTCTCTCTTACATCGATATTTCTGTCTCTCCCTCTCCCTTTCACTCTCTCTAAAAATCATTGGGAAAAATATCCTCAGGTGAGGATTAACAACAACAAAAAAGGAAGTACAAATTAATAGTTACAAAATAGTCATAAGGATATAAAGTACAGTATAGGGAATATAACCAATAACCTAAACTAATAAAAGGATAATATGCTAATTAGACCAGGTGGACTGGCCATCTTCGGGATGTTTGACTTTCTTCCGGACAATGCTATGGTGGTGGGATGGAGGCAGAGACAGTTGGGGGCGAGATCAGGGCAGCAGGGGAGGGCAGTTAGGGGCAATCAGGCAGGCAGAGGCAATTAGGGCAATTAAGCAGGCAGGCAGGTGAGCAGTTAGGAGCCAGTGGTCCCAGATTACAAGAAGTTATGTCCGACTGCCAGTTTAAGCCCGATCCATAAACCGGCAGTCAGACATCCCCAAAGGCCCTGATTGGAGAGGGTACAGGCTGGCTGAGGGAACCCCCCCTTCACCGATACGAATTTCATGCACTAGGCCACTAGTATCGTAATAATTATGTATGGTGCCTGGTGAGTACTGGAAATATCAGGGGTAATACTTTGTAAAGTATGTAATTCTCTAATCACTATCTGTACATCTAAAACTAATACCAAATAATGTTGAATGTAAACTGTCATTGAAAAGTAAAATAAACAAATAAATAAACTAGCTCTGAGAAGGCACTCAGAAAAAAAGTTCTTCACTGGCTTTGGATGTCGGGAGAGCCATAGTTCAAACTTCTAGCACTTTGTCTTAAGGTCCTTGGTCTTCTCTCTTTCATCTCATTTATTTCTATTCTTCTTCTCCTTACAGCTTTTTAAAAAAATAAGCAGTAACTTGCTTTCTTTCCCTCCCTCCCTCCCTTACTACCTCCCTTCCTCCCTCCCTCCTTCCCTTCTCCTCTCTTCTTCTCTTCCCCTTCCTTTCTCCCTCCCTCTCTCCCTCCCTCCTCCTCCTCCTCCTCCTCCTCCTCCTCCTCCTCCTTCTGCTTCTTCTTCTTCTTCTTCTTCTTCTTCTTCTTCTTCTTCTTCTTCTTCTTCTTCTTCTTCTTTTTTTAATTCCTACTTAATTCTGCCAAGGCTGGGATTCTCAGTTAGTTAGAACATAATCTCACCAAGGATGCAGGTTCAACCCCTTGTCAGGGCTCACACAAGAATCAACCAATGAATGCATAAGTAAGTGGAATAACAAATTGATGTTTCTCTTTCTCCCCCTCTCTCTTTCTCTCTAAAATCAATTTTTAAAAAAATCTTGAAAAAGAATTTCCACTCATCCTGTAAATCAATTTAAAAATAATTTTTGCTACACCTTCACTGCAGCCCTATTCTAATTTAAATGTGCTTCTTTCTGCTATCGCAGTCCATGCACCTATTAGTGTTATCACACTATAAATGGGATTGTTCATCCATTTTTGGCTAGTTTTTTCTCCTGGGAATTGACGATTTATATTTTGTTCACTTTTCTGTCGAGTTGTGATTTTCTTATTGATTTGTAGAAATTCCTATGTATGTGATCAATATTTTTTCTCAGTCTAGTCTACAAACTCTAGTTTTAGAGTTTGTAGAGTGTTGGGTGTTTTTTTTGTGTGTGTTTTTCTCATACTTAATTTTTTGTGTGTAGTAAAATATATCTAGAAGACCTCTACACTGGTATAAATTTACTTGCTTAAATATGTCTCCTAATATTTTTGGTTTTTTATAATTTGCTCTTGGAGTTCTTTGGATAAGCATTTTCAAAATCATTAGTTTCTTCATCAATATCACTTTCTATGGCTAAAAATTTATTCAACAAATTTATCAAATGCCCACTTAGCTGCTGGGGAATACAAAAATGAAAAAAAAGACAAGGCCACTACCTTAATAAAGCCTACATTCTAGAGGTGCAGGAAAACAAACAAGCAAACAAATAATTCAAGTAATTATTGCTTTTAAAAGCAACTATGAAGGAAATAAAATGGGTATCTACCTCTTAGAGTGGTCACTGAAGGCCTTAATGTTAGTACGCAGAGGATGTGCGCATAAAACAGTTCCAGTAAATGGATTTCCCATAATTTATGTAACACTTAAACTTATTTTTATTTTAGAAAGAGAGTAAGGAAGAGAGAGTTTGAAACATCAGTTTGTTGTTCCACTCATCCATGCATTCATTAGTTTATTCTCGTATGTGCCCAGACTGGGCATGGCACTCGCACCATGATGCTCTAACCAACTGAACACCCGGCCAGGGCCTGCACCATTTTTCTTTACTGTTATTTTTATTTATTTTTAAAAATATATTTTATTAATTTTTTACAGAGAGTAGGAGAGAGGGATAGAGAGCTAGAAACGACGATGAGAGAGAAACATCAACCAGCTGCCTCTAGCACACCCCCTACCGGGGATGTGCCCGCAACCAATGTACATGCCCTAGACCGGAATCGAACCTGGGATCTTTTAGTCCTGCAGACCGATGCTCTACCACTGAGCCAAACCGGTTTCGGCTTTACTGTTGTTTTTAGATTGCTTCCATGTTTACCATTATACTAATAAATACTCAGAAACAACTCTCTGTATATTTCCAAGGAATAGTTTCCTATAAATGTAATTACTGCATAGGAACGGTACTTTTATACACAGTCAAATTGCTTTCAAGAGGGAATTCCAATACACTCTCCAGTGAGTACACCGAATACTACAGGGAAAGGTAGGAATGGAAAAAGTAACTAAAAATAAAAATGGCGCCGAAACCGGTTTGGCTCAGTGGATAGAGCATCAACCTGTGGTCTGAAAAATCCCAGGTTCAGCAGCGACCGGTTTGGCTCAATGGAAAGAGCATCGGCTTGGGGACTGAAAGGTCCCGGGTTCGATTCCGGTCAAGGGCATGTACCTTGGTTGCGGGCATATCCCCAGTAGGGGGTGTGCAAAAGGCAGCTGATCGATGACTCCCTCTCATCGATGTTTCTAACTCTCTCTCTCTCTCCCTTCCTCTCTGTATAAAATCACTCTCATCGATGTTTCTAACTCTCTCTTCCTTCCTCTCTGTATAAAATCAATAAAATATATTAAAAAAAAAAAAAAAAAGAAAAGTTCCAGTTTCGATTCCAGTCAAGAGCATGTACCTTGGTTGCAGGCACATCACGAGTAGGGGGGGTGTGCAGGAGGCAGCTGATAAATGTTTCTAACTCTCTATTTCTCTCCTTTCCTCTCTGTAAATAAATAAATAAATAAATAAAACATTTAAAAAATAAATAAAAATGGCACTTTTCCTTTTCCTCAGCAAAAGGAAAAGCTACATGTAATGAAGTAGACTTGGGTTGACAAGCGAGGGGCGGCAGGATGATGACAAAGGACAGCACTCCCGTGGGAACAGGAAATCTCGGATTCTAAACCCATTTCTGCCACCCAGTGACCTTCACAGGCTATAGCTCTTCCCTCGGCCTCCGTTTTCGGAAACTCGGCAGGAACGCCCCAGGTTTTAGGTTCTCCTACATCTTCATACCAAGCATTCGCTCTAGCCCCTCCGAATTCTAGACAATAGCTTTAGAGTCGGTGAAGATGGGAGTGGGCTGAAGCAGCCCCCACTGCAAACCACAAACCAGTCATCCGCGGGCACTTCCGGCGGCCGGGACAAAGGGTTTGAAGCCGCGGGACCCGCACTTCCGGATAACTAAAGCTGCGCACCGGAAGTCCGGCTCCGCGAGTCACACCGAGTGACTCGGGTGCCGCCACTGCGCATGCTCTCCGCAGTCACGAGGCGGGGCGGGGCGGTGAGTGGGGCGGCCCGGAACCCTGACTGATCTCGCGGTCACTGGGCGGGCGCGCGAGCGACGCGGGGCGGAGCCTAGCGTCAGTGGGCACTGCAGCTCTCCGCGGAGCGTCACTGTGCCGGCCGACTGAGGTCAACTCGGGTCAGGTGGTCGCCCCGGAACCGGCTGTGGCTGTGGTCCTGGGTGTGGGAAAAACCTGACGCGGGGTTGTTGTCAAGGAGGCGCGGCACCACCCCGCCCCCTCCACCTTGGCTGCAGTAAGCCATGGCGAAAAGCAGAATCGCCGAAAAATCGCAGACGGGGTCCCTCCAGTCGACCCCGGCGGGGGACCAGGCTGCGGGGACGCCGGGCAGCAGAGACCACTTGAAGGGTGAGTGGATCCAGGGACTCGAGCTGGGCCTGGATCGGAGGCGTGGGAGGGTGCCGGGAGGGGCTCCGGCGGGGAAAGGACCCCCGCTGGGCTCCGGGGATTTGCTGGGGGTCTGGGGCCTGTTCTCTCCCAGGCGAGAGGAGAGAGAATCCGGGGGGCCTGGGTTTGGGCCGCTTGCCCAGCACAAGGCGGGACACCTAGTCGGTGAGAGGTAAATAGTATTTTAGTGAAATTCAGTTAAAAGAAGGAACGGCCCTGGCTTGTTGGCGCTCGGGAGATTGGAAGGTCGATAATACCGAAGCTGGCTGGACCCCTGTAAAGAAGGAACTTGGGCACTCTTTGCTTTCTTTTGGTGGATGAGGAGACCGAGGCCCTGAGTGGCTGTATGACTTGCACAAAGTGACAGAGCCAGATAGTAATGTCGTTAAGAGCAAGGACTTAGCTACGTCCAGGTGTGACTTCCAGGTGGCAGGAACACTTGGGTTTGAGTCCCTGCTTTACTCCTTAACTTATGACTTTGGACTTGTTATCTTTCAGCGCTTAGTGTCTAAACTGTACAGTGGGGATGGTGATAAAAGTAAAACACTCTATCCATTGAGCTATTTAGATTGGTACGTGGATTAAACGGAGTAATTCATGTAAAGGAGTTAGTGTAATACTTGGCTAGTATGAAGTAAGGGCTAAATGTTAGCGATTACTCTTGTAGCTATAAGAGCTCTCTCAAGCTTTTCTCCCAGCACTACACCGTTCTAGCATTTCTTGAGGCTTTAAATGTTATTTTAAGAAAAAGAAAAAAAGCATAACTAGAAGTTAAATATTTTGATTCCACTTTGGCATAAGGTTTTTCATTACTTTTCGGCAACTACCACGATCAAATTCTTTAGATGCCTTTAAAGCCCATTACCTTGAAGAGATTCTATCAAATGGCCATTATGTTGTCTGCAGCTTACTCACACTGTTGTGTTCCACAACCGGAGAGGGTAAGACTGTAAGAGTGTCTACCTACACTGTAACTGTAGTCAATGATAAAGTATTATACACTTAAGATTTATAAATATGAAGATAATATGTTTAACATTCAGCTGAAATACTTTTTGAATCGAATTTAAAATGTATAAAATGAAAAGTGTCTAGCAGAAAATAATATTTTATTTTTAAATAATTTAAAATGTCTTCGGTGTGCTTTGGCTTTTTAAGCTCTATGCATAGACAGTAGAGCCAAATAACTTTAGTAACTCAGAAATGAATTGCTCTCAATGTATAAATCCACTCAAATGAAATAAATGTTGTTTTGAAGATGCTGCTGTGAGAGTGACAATAATCCAGGATTTTCCTGAAAAGGGTTTTCCAGGTAGTGCATCCCAAAAGATTGTCATTTCTTTTGTGATAGCAGTCAGTTGATTTATCCCTTTTAAAAAAATTATTTTATTAATTTTAGAGAGGAAGGGAGAGGGAGAAAGAATCACTGATCGGCTTCCTCCTGCATGCCCTCCACTGGGGATCAAGCCCTCAACCTAGGCATGTATCCTTGGCCGGAGTAGAACCTGAGACTCTTCAGTCCCGCAGGCTGATGCTCTATCCATTGAGCTAAATCAGCTAGGGCTATTCCTTTTTTATAAAACCTAATTCTGTTCAGAAAATAAAACCTTGAAACCTCCAAAGTGCCTTTAAATTGTTATCTTATTTTATCATTTGAACAACACAGTTATTTTTTATGATGCTGTCAAATGATTTCTGCAGTCTACACATCTATAGGAAGATAGAGGGAAGAGAAGGGAAAGCATGTCTTCATGGACTAGTTGGGTTTCGATAAATAGGTTTTGGATAAGAGAAGGGAATGGGATTGAAGGTAAATGTGAACCCTTTATGTGTGTCAATAAAGAGAGTAACTTATCAGGGGTGAAGATTTTTTGTAATTAGTAGGAAATAAAGTTGGCCATAGCATGTTCAAAATTATGCACTAATATGAAGGACTTTAAAGGGCTAGGCAAACCCAGCTCCCATGGGTTAGTGGTTTAGCTATCGACTTATGAACCACAAGGTCACTGTTTGATTCTCTCTCATTGATGTTTCTATCTTTCACTCTCCTTTCCTTTCTAAAAATCAATAAAAACGTTTTAAAAAATGATTCCTAGTTTTTCCTTTTTCTGTCTTTCTTTCTCTGTCTCTAGTTAGTGTTAGGGATTCTCTAGACCTTTCGTGGGTAGGAAATTTAACATAAGAGGTTTTGATTTACTTGCTGGTGGTGATCAGCTTGTGATGTGATATCATTCGAAATACTTAACCACCGATTTTTCAGGTTATGAAAAAGGGATTTTTGTTCACTGCAGATGGTAACTTGACATTCAAAAAAAGGTTTTAGAGAACAGATAAAATATCTGAAAGGAAGTATGCTGGCATTTAATGCAGAGATAAGGGGAACGTGACCAGGAAAGATAATTTTGTGAGCAGATCTTGAGTTAGAGATTGGGAGCTCACTAAAGTGTGGAGGCAGTGTCATTGGTTGGTAAAATTAGTGAAAGGTAAAATTAAAGGCTTGAGGAGATTTGAAATAGCCCTCTTGGAGAGTGCTGTAAAAGAATTATTGTTTCCCAGTGATAATCTTTTTTTTTTTTTTAAATATATTTCATCGATTTTTCACAGAGAGGAAAGGAGAGAGATAGCTAGAAATGTCGATGAGAGAGAAACATCGACCAGCGCCTCTTGCACACCCCCCACTGGGGATGTGCCCGCAACCAAGGTACATGCCCTTGACCAGAATCAAACCCGGGACCTTTCAGTCCGCAGACCTCTACCACTGAGCCAAACTGGTTTCGGCTGTTTCCCAATGATAATCTTAATTGAAGATAGAGAGACATGTGAATTTGTTCTAGGCCAAGGGAGGACAGTGATCTGACTTTTTCTAACAGTATCTTTGGCCTGGGAGGGGGTTAGAAAGCAGATTATGGGATGATTCTGATTGGGAATCGGTATGATGGAAGAATTAGAGGTTAAATGAACGTACAAAGTATTGGTGTGGGTGGCTCTAAATGCTTAATGACACGTGTCTAATGTAAGAAGAAGGCACATTATAAATGTAAGGTGTCCCCCAAAAATGTATACATACTTTAATAGCTGATAATTCATTCAACTTTTACAGTTTAACTGATTTTTAAAAATATATATTTTTATTGATTTTTTACAGAAAGGAATGGAGAGGGGTAGAGAGTTAGAAACATCGATGAGAGAGAGGCATCGATCAGCTGCCTCTTGCACACCCCCTACTGGGGATGTGCCCAAAACCAAGGTACATGCCCTTGACCGGAATCGAACCTGGGCCTTTCAGTCCGCAGGCCGACGCTCTATCCACTGAGCCAAACCAGTTTTGGCATAGTTTAACTGATTTTAAATAATGGGAGAAGCTAGACTAAATTTTGAACAAAGAAAATGTATCCTAACTTGCCACTAGACTTTTTTTTTAATGGGGATACATAAAAGAAAGTTTATGGCTGAAACCGGTTTGGCAAGAGGCAGCTGGTCGATGATTCTCTCTCATCGATGTTTCTAACTCTCTCTCTCTTTCTCTTCCTCTCTGTAAAAAAATCAATAAAATATATATTTAAAAAAAACAAAGTTTATGGTACAAAATCAGTAACAGTCAATAAATTGAGAGCACAAAAATACTGAATGAAATTATTCTTGTTTGCGATTCCATTGCTTTGAGTTATCAGCAGTGCCTGGACCAGAACGGGCATTGATTAAAAAAAAAAAAAAAAAAAAAAAGACATTGATTTTTAAAATTTATTCATTTGAAAACACGCATTAAAAAAAATCATTCATTTCTGTAGAATCTTTTAAAATTTGAAAATGAACTGTATATTAATAAACACTGACTATATAATCATTCAAAGTGCATATACATTTTTGGGGGACACCCAGTATATATGCTACACATTTAGGTATAGAGTTATACTTAGAACAAATTCTTTACCTCTTATCTGTTTAGAACTAAATGAGTTACATGCTAGTATCTGGGCTTATTAGAATTATACTCAAGAAGAATTTTTGAATCATAACAGCCAGCTTTCCTATTAACTAGTTTCTGTGAAAGAGGGCTTCAAAATGGAATGTCAGTTAGTTTTATTACATTCTTATCAGTGTTTATGTGTGTATTACTGTTGAACACAATGTTTACAAAAGTTTGCCTAATTTTAGAAAGTGAAGAAAATGAAAGTGGAGGTTAATTTGTCCAAATGTCTATATATTTCATCATCCAACTGTAAGGCAGGTAGCAAACAGAGATGTGTATTCAAAGAACTCTCAGGGTAGTTGTGTTCTGTAGTCCAGTTAAATGTTGTCTGACACCCTTCTTCCCTCTAACCCTTTACTTAGGACTGGTGAGTTATAATGGGAAGGAAAATATTACAGTTGAATTTTAGTACTAGCATGTTAAATATCTTATTTTTTTAAATATGTTTTTATTGATTTCAGAGAGGAAGGGAGAGGGAGAGAGAGAGATAGAGCCATCAATGATGAGAGAGAATCATTGCTTGGCTGCCTCCTGCACACCCCTACTGGGGATGGAGCCAGCAACCTGGGCATGTGCCCTGACCAGGAATCGAGTCAGTAACTCTTGGTTCCTGGGTCAACACTCAACTGCTGAGCCACACCCGGTTGGGCTAATTTTTAATTTAAGAGAACTGTGTTACCTGTTGAAGTCTTCAAAATATGTTTAGACATGGCTGGGTGGCTCAGTTGGTTGGAATGTTTGGCCCATATACCAAAAGGTTGCAGGTTCCATACTCAGGGCACATATTTAGGTTGCGGGTTCTATCCCTGGTAAAGGTGCATATGGGAGGCAACTGATCAATGAAGGCTGTATATTCTTTTTATAAAATAATATTTTTATTTATTTCAGGGAAGAAGAGAGAGAGAGAGAGAGAGAGAGAGAGAGAGAGAGAGAGAGAGAGAGAGAGAGAGAGAGAGAGACATCAATGATGGGAATTATTGATCAGCTGCCTCCTGCACACCCCCTTCTGGGGATCAAGCCTGCAACCCAGGCCATGTGCCCTTGACCAGAATCGAACCGAGGATGTTCATTCCTCAGGCCAACACTCTATCCTTTGAGCCAAACTGGCCAAGGCAAGGCTGCATATTCTTTTCTCATCTTTTAGTCTTCAACTAAATTTCCACCTGTCCTTTGAATCTTGCTTCCATCACTAGCCCAGTAATCTTGCTTTTCTATAAACTTCAAAGCCCCTTTTAACATTCATTGGAGGTCTAGCTAAGAGCAGCATCAGATTCTTAAGAATTGAGCAAAATATTTGTTACATAATCGATGTTCAGCAGATAGTACTAAGCAACTATACATTTGAGTGCACACCCTGCATAGTAGAGACCCTAAGAGAAGTTTCAAGAAAGGGGAGAAAATCAACCATTTAGTTTTAGAAGTTATTTTGTGTACACAAATATCTATAGGATGAAAAAAACAAAAAATCAACTTATTGGTGGTTTTGAAGAGTTTAAAAGATACCCTTAATATTATTATAAATTATTTGTATCAGTACTTTTTATACTCTGGACCTGATTCTAACAAGGAAATAAATGGAAAGTAAGGACAAATTAATTCCAGATAGATTTAAAGGTAGCATACGTTGAAGAAGTAATAGGCCTCCAGAAAAATCATACAGACTATACACTTACGATAACCTGGTATTTGTTGTTGTTACTATTGTTTTTATCCAAAGAAGAAGGGAGGGAGAGAGGGAGGAAGAGAAACATCAGTGTGAGGAAGAAAGATGGATTAGTTGTCTCCTACCCACCACAACCAGGTATTGAACCTGCAATCTAGGTATGTGCCCTGATCTGGAATTGAACCTGCAACTTTTTTGGTGTAGGGGACAATGCTCCACCATCTGAGCCACCTGACAGGGCAATGTGTCTTTGCTTTGATGTTAACCTATGAAAAACTATGTAAAATACTCAATATTTATACACTAGAGGCCTGGTGCATAGATTGATGCACTGATGAGGGGCATGGCCTGTGGGGATCAGCCAGCTGTGGGAGCACCACTCATCCTGGTCAGCTGAGCAGCTGTGGACCTGCCCTCTGTCTGAGCAACTGTGGATTCACCCTCTGTGCGGCTACTCCCGCCATGGGAGCACTGTTCATCCCAGTTAGTGGAGTGGCCCTCCCACTGTGGGAGTGTGCTGACCACCAGGGGGCAGCTCCTGCATTGAGCATCTGCCCCTTGATGGTCAGTGTGCATCATAGCAAGTGGTCGACCAGTTGTTCTGGACCTTCTGCCATTTGTTGCTGGGCTTTTATATCGATTTTTCTCTTTGTCTTTCCCTCTTCCACTCTCTCTAAGAAGTAATGGAAAAATATTCTCGGGTGAGGATGTAAATAAATAAATAAGGAAGTTGTTCTAAGAATATAAGGGACAATCACACTGGTATCCATGAGCAAGAAATAATCTAGCCAGGCTTCAAGTGAAGTGGAAAGTTAAAAATCCAGTAGCTGATCTATAACTCCCTTTTCTACTCTTTGGATTTCTGTTCCAGTCTCCCCTCTTATTTTCTGGTACATGCCTGTGGCTTGCCATGTTATTGACTGTGGCCTGTATTGTTTGACTCTTCAGCCTCAGGACTTTGACAGCAGTATCAGCTTTTCCTAGTTTAGATACTTAGGAATGAATTGTTTCTACTTGGATCAGATATCCAACCTTGAGTGAGTTAGCCTTCTGTGTTTGGGATCACATGGTAAAAATAGGGCCAATGAGATTAGCCTCTTTGGAGAGGGGGGATGGACATAGGAAAGGTGCTAGTTGCCAAAGAATGGGAGCCTTACTAGAGCAGGAAATGACATTTGCCTGATAAACCTTTGTTAATGTTCACGAAGAATGACTTGCTAAACTTGAATAGAGTAAAAGCATACTTCATAAAAGCATGAATAAAAGTTATATATTAATAGATAGTGGTTGGTGGGGTATAGTGGTAGATACATTCTCAGAGAACTGAAACTAATAAATCCTAATTATATATTTTTTAAATTTCATGAGTGTTATGAGATAATGTATCTACCTTTTCACCAGTGAATACTATTAAGGTATACTATTGACTGCTTCCAGGGAAAAAGAGCCTGCTAATTCTGCTTGCTGTTTCCTGGATCTCATTTCATACTTCTATCTTGCATAAAATTTTAAAGGTAATATTAAGATTAACTTGTGAGGGAATGCAAACAAATTGTCCTATTCTTGGAATCGCTGTCAGAGCCACCCAGATACATTTGAGTTTCAACTATATTCTGAAGCCCTGGGTGTAAAGAGAAACATTAACCAGTTGCATTAGCACAGCGATTTTTATTCGGTATATCATGGCAGTGCTGCAAGAACTTTTAAAATATGCAATACCTGACTATTTAGTCAGGGGCACTGACCTATTTTCCCTTAGATTGTTAAATAAAAAAATGACAACAGTCAACATAATAGCTGTCTGGTGTGAACAAATCAAAATTATACTTTTTTTTTGTCAGTGCCACATAATTTTAGTAATTCATTGATGTGTGCCATTAGATTAAAAAAGTTGAAAATCACTGCATAAGCAAAATCTTTAGGTTTTTATGAAAGTTGAAGTAATTGCCAGAGTATCTCATTTTTCCTAAGAGACTGCTATTCTGTCTATGCTGTCACCTCCCAATATATATATATATATATAGGCTAATATGCAGAGTGTCCCCTCTTTGTGTCCCAGTTCCATTGGGAGACCAGGAATTCGCTTGCTCACTATGTCATGTGCGACCACCAGGGGGTGTTGTGGATGAAGGAAGTCTCAGGCCAGCAGCTGGGGAAGGAAGGCCCTGTCTGGCAGCCAGAAGGCCCTGATCAGCCCTGTTAACTGCCCAGGCTTGGGGACCCTACCCATTCATGAATTTTGTGCAATGGGCCTCTAGTAGATAATAAAATTGAAAATCAATGATAGCACTTTGAGTTTATCAACAAACCAGTGCTACAAATTCTGGTGTTTGTTTTTTTGTTTTTGTTTTTGTTTTTTATGCATCTAAAATGGATATAGGCCAGACCTGACTGGAGTGGCTCAGTTGGTTGGGCATCATCCCTTGCACCAAAAGATTGCCAATCTGATTCCTGGCCAGGGCACATGCCCGTGTTATGGGCTACCAATTGATATTTCTCTCTATCCCTCCCTCCACCTTCCCATCTCTAAAATCAATAAAAACATATTTTAAAAATAAACAAAATGGATATAGGCAGAAAAGTACTATGCCTGGTTAATAAATATCAAATATAACTATACGTAAAATTTACTGTTACAGTGTTTTGGGCAAAAGTATGAATAGCTTTTTGGGAGGAAAGCCTTTACAGAAATTATTTGCTGGTTTGGAATACTGTCTTCCTTTATATTTATTGTAATTATAACATCTTTTTCTATTTGTTTCAGAAAAAGCCTGTGCAGAAGCTGGGTCGGCAAGAATGTCACTTCTTATATTGCTGTCCATTTTCTTATCTGCGGCTTTTGTTATGTTTTTGGTATATAAAAATTTTCCACAGCTTAGTGAGTAAGTATACTGAAAGAAACTATCTAGATATCTGTAGATTAAAAGTTAAACTTAATTTTAAGCAATCGAACTGGCATGGTGATTGTATATCAGCTCTCACAGCTTGTAGCAAGTTCATATTGATATTGACACTGTTATTTAAATACTCCTTGCCTTGGCCAGTAAGCGTTGGTTGAGTGTTGTCCCATGTACCAAAAGGTTGCCGGTTCGATCCTCTTTCAGGGCACATGCCCTGGCGGTGGGCTTGATCTTTAGTAGGAGGCAGGTAGGAAGCAGAGGATTGATGTTTCTCTCTCTCTCTCTAAAATCAATAAAAACATATTTTAAAAAATTACTTCTGCCCTCGCTGGTTTGGCTCAATGGATGGAGCGTTGGCCTGCAGACTGAAGGGTTGGTTCCAGGTTGGATTCTGGCCCTTGGTTGTGGGCTCAGTCCCCAGTAGGGGGTGTGCAGGAGGCTGCCAATCAATGATTCTCTCTCATCATTGATGTTTCTATCTCTCCCTTCTTCTCTAAAAAAATAAATAAATAAATAAATAAATAAATAAATAAATAAATGTCAATAAAATATATTCTTTTAAAAAATTACTTCTTTCCGAATATACCTCTTGATTTTCTATGAAAGGTTTTTCTAGCACTGCTCCTCTAATTAAGACCTAATGTTTTTAATGATCTTATATATATCTATGTGCTTACCTCCTCTTCCTTCACTTGTATATGTATATACATATAAAACTAAGTTAAAGTTTTGTGAAACAAGTGGTAGTTTCTGATATTTTCTAAACTATTTGCTTTATTGCATTTACTTTTTTAATGATAGTAGTGATCAAGTAAATTTATTTTACAGTCTATAATATAACAGATATTGACCTGTATTTTGAAAAATAGTGATGATCTTCTCTGCTTTCCCCTATTTATTCCTGTTTTCTCCCTTCTTTTCTTTATGACCAATTTTTGTCTTCTGTTCAACTTGTTTCCCCTATTACTTCTGTGTCTCCTAGCACTTTTTCTTTTTCCTGTTTTATGGAAATAATATGGTCTGAATATGTAGTTTCCCAGTAAAATGGACCTTACAAAAGACAACTGAGCCGGGACCGGTTTGGCTCAGTGGATAGAGCGTCAGCCTGCGGACTGAAAGGTCCCAGGTTCGATTCCAGGCATGTACCTTGGTTGCGGGCACATCCCTGGTGGAGGGTGTGCAAGAGGCAGCTGATTGATGATTCTCTCTCATTGATGTTTCTAACTTTCTATCCCTCTCTCTTCCTCTCTGTGAAAAATCAATAAAATATATTAAAAAAAAAAAAAAAAAAAAAGACAACTGAAATGTAATTAGACTTTCAACCTGAGCCAGCCTATTGTGGTAATAGGTAACTGAAATGGGATTTCAAAGTACCAGAAAGTTACTGTTTCCTCTAAATTTCTTTCACTAACAATTACTTATGCTTAAAAATTTATAGTGAATCATATATATTTTAAAACTTTGATTTCTTGAAATGTCTTTGGGAAGATAGCATGTATTATGTTAATATTAGTATGATTGAATTTTAGATTCTTCCTGGTTTTGATCAGAGATTAGAAAATAGAGAACTGATTGAAAGAGGGAAATAATGTAGAGTATAGATTAAGATTGTCTTTGTTTTCACTCTGCTTTAAGAATAACATCACCACATGTATATAATAATATATTACTATACATCTATTGTTCTGCTTATTTCTTTCTATGTTTGTGTTATATGTGTGTATAAGCATACATGTGGCAGTAAGTTTATAGTGAGAAAACCCATTTTAGTTTACCTGCTATTTTTCCTTTTTTGTTTTTATTGATTTTAGAGAGAGGAAGGGAAAGGTGAACAGGGATAGAAATAGAAACATAATGATAAGAGAGAATCATTGACTGGATGTTTCCTGCACACCCCCTACTGGGGATGAGCCTGCAACCTGGTCATTGCCCTGACCGGGAATCTAACTGAACTGTGACCTTCTGGTTCATGGGTCCATGCTCAACCACTGAGCCACATCAACCGGACATTTACCTATTTTTTAGGACTTCAGCAGTATTCTTTCATTGTTCTGCAAGGTCAGTTACATTTTATCTGTAAACAAATGGGCACAATATACATTAAAGGCAAAAGTGATTATTTGAGGCTTTTATAAGCAAGAAATTATTCAGTTCCAAACAAGAAACCAAATATAAAGTAAAATTAATAGAAAGGGGGAAAATGTTAAAATTTTTTGAAACTTATTTTCTAATTATAGTTGATATACAATGTTATGTTAGTTTCAAGTGTATAGCATAGAAAATGTTTAAGTTTTCTGAATTCTGAGCTGGACTATTCCAGAAAAGGTATAAATTATATAACTTAATAAAATGTATACTTAATTTCAGTTGTAATTGATTATTGACTTTAGCTTATCATGAGGATTACCCAAAATGATGTTAAATATGTTTTAAGTATTGCTAACATCAGTGGTTCATTTCTTAATTTAAAATTTATACCAAAGTTGGAACAAGTGCTTTAAAAAACCCATCTAGTTTGGGTCACCTTGAACTTTCATACATAGAATACATTCGCCATATTAATTATATTAAAGCATTAAAAAAAATGTATGGACTTTTAAAGTTAAAATTTATGAATTTATGCTTAATATATTATAGATCAAGGCATCATTTTGGATAAAACTTTATGTTTTGAAGTTGACTGACTGTTTTGTAGTTGACTATCTTGGCAAATTTCTGCTTTAAAATTTTTCACTTTAATTTTCTTTTTTTTTAGAGAAGAAAGAGTGAATATGAAGGTTCCCAGAGATATGGATGATGCCAAGGCTCTAGGGAAAGTTTTATCCAAATATAAGGACACGTTTTATGTAGAAGTACTTGTAGCTTATTTTGCTACATATATTTTGTATCCTTTTAACTGAAAAATGTCTTCTAGTTTTGTCCAAGAGAACGGTTTTTGTTTTTTTTAAAGATCTGCTGCTCAATTATACGTAACTCTTTTTCCTTTCAAAAATTATTAATGCAATATAACAATATTAAATAGAATATTGAAAAATTAAAATGCAAACATTTCTCACTTTAATCCTTTTCAACTCTATTATTATTTTTGGATATTATGTTTTATTGTATTCTGCTTATTTCACTTATTATAAACATTTTCCTTCCCTTAGTATTATTAGAGATAATTATTTTATTTATGTTTACTTTATTTGTTGTCTTAATTTAATTTAAATAATAATTTTGAATTAGTAGTCACCATACCATAATTTTAAAGCATTCTCTTAGGTTTGAAGATAAAATTTGTGTTTAATATTTTAGATGTTATGAATCTTTTTGTGATATTTTTTCTTCCATTTAATGGTTTTATTTGTCAAAAAAAATTCTAAAAGGATAATTATTCAGAGGATATGGATTTTTAAAATAGTACTTGGTATTTATTTCTTTGTTTTACAGAAATATATATTGTATTTTTAACTAGTCAGGAAAAGAACTTTATTCTTTTAATTTTCAAGTTGCTTATGCTACTGGTGATTAATCTTCTTTTTATTAAATCTTTATGGATGAAAGTATTACATATATCCCCTTTCTCCTCTCCTCCTCCCCCCCCCCTCGCCCCATGTACCCTTTCTAGCCCACCCTGTCTCCTGCCTCAGGTCTTTACCACCTTATTGTCTGTGTCCATGGGTTATGCATATATGCATACAAGTTCTTTGATCTCCTCCCACCCACCGACCCTTCCCGACCTTCTCTCTGAGATTCTGCAATCTGTTCAATGCTTCTGGGTCTCTGGATCTTTTTTGTTCATCAGTTTATTTTGTTCATTAGATTCCACATGTGAGTGGGATCATGTGATACTTGTCTTTCTTTGACTGGCTTATTTTGGTAAGCATACTCCATGCTGTCTCAAAGGGTAAGAGATCCTTCTTTTTTTACTTTGCTGCATAAAGTGGTGTAAATGCACCACAGCCTTTATATCCCTGCATCTACTGATGGGCACTGGGCTATTTCCAAATCCTAGCTGTTGTAAATTGTGCTGCTATGAAGATAGGGGTGCAGATATTCTTTCTGATTGGTGTTTCAGGTTTCTTAGGATAAATTCCTAGGAAGTGTCTATTTAGATCCTTTGCATATTTTTAAATTGGATTATTTGTCTAACTTCTGTTGAGTTGTTCCTTATATATTTTGGATATTAACCTTTTATCAGATGTATAATTGTTAAATATGTTCTCCCATACAGTGGACTCACTTTCATTTTGTTGATGGCTTCTTTTGCTATGTAAGAAGCTTTTTATTTTGATGTAGTTCCATTTGTTTCTTTTCTCCTTAATTTCCTTTGCCCTAAGAGATGCACCCATAAAGATATTGCAATGAGTAAGATCTGAGATTTTGCTGCCTATGGTTTCTTCTAGGATTTTATAGTTTCATGGCTTACATATCTGTCTTTTATCCATTTTGAGTTAATTCTTGTCTATGGTATAAATTGGTGGTCTAGTTTCATTTTTTTTTTTTTTTGCATGTATCTGTCCAATTTTCCCAACACCATTTATTGAAGAGATTGTCTTGACTCTGTTGTATGTTCTTGCCTCCTTTGTCAAATATTAATTGAGCGTAATGGCTTGGGTCGATTTCTGGGGTCACTGTTCTATTCCATTGATCTATATACCTGTTCTTGTGCCTTTGTAGTATAACTTGATATCTTTTATTGTAATCCCTCCAACTTTATTCTTCTTTCTCAAGATTGCTGCAGCTATTCGGGGTCTTTTTTGGTTGCATATACATTTTTGGAGTATTTGTTCTAGATCTGTGAAATATGTTGTTGGTATTTTAATAGGGATTGCATTGAATCTATAAATTGCTTTGAGTATTATGGACATTTTAATGATGTTAATTCTACCAACCCATGAACACTATATATTCTTTCACTTGTTTATATCTTCCTGTATCTTTTTTTCCAATATCCTATAGTTTTCCGAGTACAAGTTTTTTACCTCCTCAGTTAAATTTATTCCTAAGTATCTTAATATTTTGTTGTAGTGGTAAATGGGATTGTTTGTTTAGTTGCTCTTTCCGAGAATTCATTATTGGTGTATAAAATTGCCACTGATTTCTGAATGTTAATTTTGTATCCTGTTACATTGCCGAGTCCCTTTATTAAATCTACTAGTTTTTTGATGGAGTCTTCAGGATTTTCTATGTACAATATCATGTCATTTGTGAATAATAATAATAATATATATTGGATTATATATTATACATATAAAATAATGTCTAAGTAACAAATACATTTACAAAAGCTTTTGCTGCCAAGGCAAACATTGCTTACTTAGTGTGCTTTGTGTAGACCCTTTGTCATTATCTTTTCTATTTATCAGTGTAAGAGAAAGGAAATACCAATCTAAACAGAGCTAGAAAGTTAAGCTCAAATCACATTCCCATAGCGGAGAGAATAGTTATTAATACTATAAGAGAAAGGACAGGGACATATTAAACCACTCTAAGAGATAGAATAGACAAAACTTAAAAAGTGGTTAATTCTACAAATGACTGGTTTCTTCAACAAATACATTGGAAGAAGGAAAAACGGAATCTATACTTAAGTGATATAGTAAGCAATATCATGATTGAGCATTTAAAAAAATTTTTATATATATTTTATTGATTTTTACAGAGAGTTAGAAACATCGATGAGAGAGAAACATCTATCAGCTGCTTCTTGCACACCCCCTACTGGGGATGTGCCTGCAACCAAGGTACATAACCCCAACCGGAATCGAACCTAGGACCTTTCAGTCCGCAGGCCGATGCTCTATCCACTGAGCCAAATCTGCTTCAGCTGTTTGAGCATTTTTTTAATCCTAACTTAATCAAACTAGCTATAAAAGAAAAAAATTCTGAGTCCTTTGGGAAATCTGAATATAGAGTAAGTAGATATTCAGGATAGTAAGAAATCTCAAGTCGATGACAATGGTATTATAATTATGTTAAAAAGAAAGGGAAGCCTTACTCTTTTAAAGTATTAAAGTGGTTGCATAAGAATTGATGTCTGGAATTTTCTTCAAAATAACCCAGTGTAAGGGAAAAAAACAAAATAAGATTGGTTGAGTGTTAATTATTGAATCTGTGCATAGGTATATAGGGCATCATCATACTAATTTCTCTACTTTTTTATATGTTGGAAACTTTTCCATCAGGTTGTAAAGAATCCTGTAATAAATAAATTGATAAAATTTATTTTTAATGTCATCACAAGGGAAATTAGTCAAGCACTCTGAAAGTGTTTTCACTATTTATGTGGCATACAGGGAGATATTAGAATAAGTTTAATTACTTTATCAGTCATTGTTTGCATTAATGTTGTTTTTATTGTTTTATATCCTGTTTTTGTTGTTTTCATATCATGTTTTTATTGTTTTTATATCATTTCTTTGTTATATCATTTTGTTATTGTTCATTTATTAATAAATTTATATACTATTTTCAAAAAAATTATTTTTAATGGAGGCATTCATTAGATAGATAGAAAATTTGAGACTGGTGTTTGATTAGCAAGATTGAATCAGTGATGGAGAATTCAGAGTTATCAACATATAAGGCCATATACTTGAAACCATGGAAATTGCTGAATTTATCAAAGGAAAGGGAGAGAAGAGTATGGCCAACAGAATGGTAGAAAAATCTTAGGAGTTGACGGTGAGAAGAAGAAAAAAGCTAGAGATGGAATGATCTGTAATGTAGAAGAAAAGTACTTTTTTTAAAAAATGAGAGAGGATGCTTAATCCTATGCAGGAATCGCTTTAAGAAAAAAAAGTGGCTTGAGAAAAGTCATTAATTTTGGCCAGGAGGAAGTTTCAATAGAGTGGTGGATGGGTAACCAGGTTCTAAAGGGAGAAGATAAGATGCAAGGAAGAAAGATGAGAGGCAGTAGTTGGTTGGTCAAGGAAAGCCTAGATTTTCTTTATAGAGCATCTGAGTGGTTTTAAACAAGACAGCTCCTATGGAAGAACAAGAGGTTTGAGAAACAAATGAGGAGGGAGAAAATTTAAATGAAAACATGAGTAAAGTGGAAACTAGAGAAAGAAAGAGAAGGAGATTTTATGGATGAAGACAGAAATTTTCAAGTAGGAAAGAGAGATGCTGAGGGAGTTCACTCAATCTGATTGACCTTGTAAGTAATAATGTTAGGGCTTAAAAAGGGGTCCAAGCCAGCATTGGCAACCAAAGGAAAAAACAAAATTGTTTTAAAAATAAGATTTGTGACTTTTATTATATTTTGTAACCCTAGATTAACGAATTTAGGCAAATGTGTATAAGTTAAATTACAAATAAGGAATTATTATACCTTATATGTAACTAGATTTCTACAGAAATCATGTTTCCTGAAAATATTTGGGAGTAAATGCATTGCATTAGAGAAGCATATTTAAAAGATTACCGGAGACCTCTTTTGTTCTTTTTTCTTTTCCTCCTCTTTTTTTGTTTGTTTTTTGCCAATGCCTGATTCCTGGCTTGTATTAGTGAACTTCAAGATAAAGGCATTACAACTGAGAAGTCATATTTTAAAATTTTTTGGATATAATTTTACTTTATTTTTAATACTGAAATATGGATGTAATCTGATTACTTATGTATTGACTTTTTTTTTTTTTCAGAAATGTTGGATATGTCTTTTAAAAATTCTACTTAATTATGTTTTAATCCTTAACTTAAAAGTTAACAGCTTGCAAACATTTGCTATTCCAGGTTCTATATTTCTCAGTATACTCTCAGGGTTTCTTTATCCCTTTCCACTGGCCTTATTTCTTGTTTGTTTGGTAAGTATATTAAATCAAATTGGAAAACTTAAAAAACAGTTTTAAATAGAATGAGGGGGAGTAGTAGGATGGCATTACTAGTCCCACTTACTTATTTAAGCATAAACGCATTAGTTTTAAAAGGAATTTAATGTTAATCTGTTAAGTCCCTTCATAAGGAGGTGTTATGTAAATTAGGTTAGATTAAGTTAGATTAGGTTCTTTTTTTTCCTGGAACAGGGTTATCATAGACTTGATTGCATTTATAGGCTCTGCTTTAACCTTTTCTTCTTCTGTTGTATCTTGTAATTCAATTAGTCCAAGAGTATTGATGGGCACAAAGAGTTAAATCCCAGAGCTGGGGATGGAGTTTTCAAGCAAAGCAATCGAAAGAAAAAAATTGGCTCTTGAAGTTTTATTCTTAGGCTAATGGGTAACATCAACTGTTTTGATATAGTCACTAAATTTAATCTTGTCAATTAGTTTTGGCTATCTTATTTTAATTATAATTTGGTCTAAGAAAGGACCAGATCAAATGGGTTCTTGCTCTCTGCACAAGGGATGGCATGCAGGGATGGTATCCTTCCCAGCCCCAAAAGAAGTACACTAGTTCAGCTTTTCCTTAGGTGAATATATCCGTGTGAAAAATTACAAAATGCTTATGGCTTCTTATTGTTTTCTAGTGTTCTGGACTTGGTGCCTCATTCTGCTATATGCTCTCCTATTTAGTCGGGAGACCAGTTGTATACAAATATCTAACAGAGAAAGCAGTAAAATGGTCACAGCAGGTAAACATGTGTCTTTAAATTATTTATTGTAATTGTTTGACTAATTGGGAAATCAACATATAGTCCTTACATAAATTAACTCAGACTCAAGGCTTTAATAAAAATCAGCCATCTTGTGTGTTGGCTGTGATGGTCAGTTTTATTTTGGCCAAAATGAAATCAAGTGGGAAGCAAATGATAAATGTTAATAATTTCAAAGACAGTTTTGCACCCGTAATGCACCCATAATGTTAATTCTTCATTTCTAGTATATTCAATTAGAGTAGAGAAGTCAAAATGTCAAAGTAAAGCCAACCACATATTTAGATGCTTCACCTGTTTTGTGTTAATGTAGTTATGTTATCAGTGAAAAACTTGTAATGAAAAACTCCTTTAATGCATTTCATCTGTGAGAACAACTGTTATCTTTTATACACACACACACACACACACACACACACAGACACTCACACCCTAGAGGCCTGATACATGCAATTTGTGTACAGGGGTGTGTGTCTCTCAGCCCAGCCTGCACCTCTCCAATCTGGACCCCTCGAGGGATGTCCGACTGCCAGTTTAGGTTGGATATCCCTCCACAATTCAGGACTGCTGGTTCCCAACTGCTCACCTTCCTGCCTTCCTAATTGCCCCTAATCGCTTCTGCCTGCCAGCCTGATCACCCCCTAAGTACTCCCCTGCAAGCCTGATTGATGCCTAACTGCTCCCCAGCAAGCCTGTTTGTCCCTAACTGCCCTCCCCTGCAGGCCTGGTCCCCTCCAACTGGTCTCCCCTGTAGGCCTTGGTCCCCCCCCCCAACTGCCCTCCCTTGCAGGCCTGTTCCCTCCCAACTGCCCTCCCCTGCTGACCTGATCGCCTACAACTGCCCTCCCTTGAAGACCTGGTCCCTCCCAACAGCCCTCCCCTGCTGGCCATCTGTGGTGGCCACCTTGAGTCCACATGGAGCAGTCATCTTTGACCACACAGGGACAGCCATCTTCTGTTGGAGTAACAGTCATTTTGCATATTATTCTTTGATTAGATAGGTTAGAGGCCTGGTTCACAGGTGAGGGCTGGCTGGTTTGCCCTGAAGGGTGTCCCAGATCAGGGTGAGGGTTCCCTTGGGGCATGGGGTGACCTGGGTGAGTGACCTGTGGTGGTTTGCAGGCTGGCCATGTCCCCTGGCTACCCAAGCGGAGGCCCTGGTATCTGGGATTTATTTATCTTCTATAATTGAAACTTTGTAGCCTTGAGCGGAGCCAAGCCTCCTGCTTGCTCCATGGCCGAAACCATTTTTGTTGGGATTTATTTATCTTCTACAATTGAAACTTTGTAGCCTTAAGCGGAAACCAGGGCAGGTGGAAAGCTTGGCTTCCTCCATTGCCGGGGAAACCCAAGCCTCCTGCTCTCTCCGTGGCCACAGCCATTTTGGTTGGGTTAATTTGCATCCTTGCTTCTGATTGGATGGTAGGCATAGCCTCTGGGTATAGCAAAGGTATGGTCAGTTTGCATATTACTCTTTTATTAGATAGGACTAGTGGCCTGGTACACAGATTTGTGCCCTGGTGGGGTCCGTTGACTTGGCCTGCACCCTCTTGCAATCCAGGACCCGTTGAGAGATGTTGGATTGCTGGTTCAGCCTGGTCTCCACAGGCCAGGCCAAGGGACCTCACCGGTGCAAGAATCTGTTCATCGGGCCTCTAGTATGCATATAAGATCTTTGGTTAAACTCTTCCTGCCCTCCCCCCTCTCCCCTTTCCTCCGAGATTCATCAGTATGTTCTCAGTTTCCAGGCCTGTACGTTGAGCATCTGTCCCCTGGTGGTCAATGGGCATTATAGCTAACAGTCGAACGGTCAAGCAGTTGAACAGTTGCTTAGGCTTTTATATATATATATTTTTAATATATTTTATTGATTTTTTTTACAGAGAGGAATAGAGAGGGATAGAGACCTAGAAACATCGATGAGAGAGAATCATCAACCAGCTGCCTCTTGCACACCCCCCACTGGGGATGTGCCCACAACCAGGGTACGTGCCCTTGACGGGAATCGAACCCGGGACCTTTCAGTCCACAGGCCGACGTTCTGTCTACTGAGCCAAACCGGTTCCAGCTATATAGATATATTTAATTGATTTTAGAAAGGAAGCAAGAGGGAGAGAAAGAAATACCAATAGTGAGAGAGAGTCATTGATCGACTGCCTCTTGAATGCCCCTTATGGGATTGAGTCTGCAACCCAGACATGCGCCTTGACAACTGTGACCTTCTGGTTCATAGGTTGTGCTCATCCACTGAGCTGCACTGGTCTGGCACACTGTTATCTTTAGTCAGGGTCTCTGCAAAGACTAGCAATATAATATAAGCAATACTATACAGAAAAATATAATATAGTATTGCTAAGAAAATTCTGTTTTTATAAAGAAACAAAAGAAACACCTCTCAGAGGAATTCTGTAGATTATCTTTGCCTTATCCCTTTGATTAGCATATTAACAGAAATTAAGCATTTGACCTGGAATTAAACATTTATTCACTTGTAAAGCAAGGTATAGAATCTCAGATCTCTAGATTTTTAGTCTACTGCTCTTCTCACTTAACCACATATGTACTGAATATTAAAATTAATTTACATGTGGTCCTAACTGGGTGGTTCGGTTGGTTAGAACATCATACTGATATACACTAATTTGCGTTTGATCTCCCAATAGGGCACATTTAAGAAGCAACCAATGAGGGCCCCTAGCCAGTTTGGCGCAGGGTATAGTGTCAGCCTGTAGATTGAAGGGTCCTGGGTTTGATTCCAGTCAAGGGCACATGCTTGGGTTTCAGGCTTGATCCCCAGTAGAGGGCATGTAGGAGTCAGCCAATCAGTGATTCTCATCATTGATGTTTCTCTCTCCCTCTCTCCTCTGAAATCAATAAAGATATATTAAGAAAAGAATGCATAAATAAGTAGAACAACAAATCAATGTCTCTCGCTCTCAATATAAATAAAATAAATAAAAATAAAATCATTTTACATATATTTTTTGGAATACTTGTTTATTTCCCATAAATAAGCTTGTTATTCAAAGGAAGAATTAATTAATGTACTCATTGCTTATATTTAATTGGTTAAATATTTCCATATACTTTAATCTCATATTTATTTATTTATTTATTTATTTATTTAATTGATTTTTTACAGAGAGGAAGGGAGAGAGATAGCTAGAAACGTCCATGAGCGAGAAACATCAACCAGCTGCCTCTTGCACACCCCCTACCGGGGATGTGCCCGCAACCAATGTACATGCCCTTGACGGAATCGAACCTGGGACCTTTCAGCCCGCAGATCAACGCTCTATCACTGAGCCAAACTGGTTTCGGCTTATTTATTTATTTTTTAAGTATTTTTATTGATTTCAGAGAGGAGGTTAGAGATAGAAACATAGTGATGAGAGGGAATCATCGATTGGCTGCCTCCTGCACACCTCCCCCTGGGGATCGAGCCCACATCTCAAGCATGTGCCCCTGACTGGAATCAAACCCAGGACCCTCCAGTCTGCAGCCAACGCTCTATCCACTGAGCCAAACCAGCCAGGGCTTTAATCACATTTATTAATAATGAGTTTGTTCATGTGGTATATAGTATAGTAACATAAAGTAAAGATCTGAAATTTTTAAAAATTGGAGGCTGGGTAGCCCTTTACATTATAAGAAGTTAAAGGCATTGAAAAGCTGATTACCTGGTGTGTTTCTTATATCTCGTCATATGTTTAATTTTGCCATTTTGGGTTTAAAATGTCATTGTTGGGCCATCATTATCTAGGTTGGCATAGAACCATCTTTAGTAACATTAAGCTTTAAGCATAATTAAAAAACTTATCATCCTAAGTTAATTTAGCTCTGGTAGTGAGCATTTGATAAGTAATTCATTGTCGTTTTCAAGCTCCCTTTTGATTATTGCTATTGGATAAACTCTGAACTATCAAGGATGAGAATTTGAAATAAGATATTTTATATTAAGCACATTGTTTTCTAGATTAACTTTATCTTGATCCCAATTCTTTTCTTTCTTGACAGGTTGAACGTCACAGAGAACATCTCATAAACTACATTATATTTTTGAGAATAACCCCATTTCTGCCTAATTGGTTTATTAATATTACATCTCCTGTGATAAATGTGCCATTGAAAGTTTTTTTTATTGGCACTTTTCTAGGTAAGGTCTCTGGTTCACTCTGTGTTAGAACTCATTGTGTACATATCTAGCAGTGTCCAGCTGGGCTGGATTTCTTTATATAAAAAATATATATTTTATTGATTTTTTTACAGAGAGGAAAGGAGAGAGAGAGAGTTAGGAACAACGATGAGAGAGAAACATTAATCAGCTGCCTCCTGCACATCCCTTATTGGGGATGTGCCTGCAACCAAGGTACATGCCCTTGACCAGAATCGAACCTGGGACCTTTCAGTCCACGGGCCAAACTGGTTAGGACTGGGCTGGATTTCATGCTCTTTGCAGACATGCCAGGACAGTGGCACAGTGCCTGGCTTATGGAAATAGATGCTCAGAAATGTTTGTTGGAGTATCTTAATTTAAGTATTTTTGTGTTGCTTCTTTTGAAGAGGAGCGTTTTCTAGTGGATATTTTTTTAATCATGCAGGATTAAGCAGGATGTTTAAACTCCATTCTCTCCTTCGTGGAGAGAAAAAAAAAATCAAAGTGCCTTTTTTGAATAATTTTCTCCTTTGTCCTCTGATCAGGCACTGAAATATTGAAATTTCAGTAAAGAATTGATCCTATTTTTATTTTATTGAAATCAGTATTTATTATGGGCATTAGCAATAATATGTGGGAAGCAAGGATTAACAACTGTATTGCTTTCAAGGAGCTGCACTTAATTTTTAAATTAACCAGTGGACATAAAGATTCATTTGTATATTTTATGAATTCTAATGGTTCTTTAATAAAAGTATTCTGCTTTTCTTTCAAATTTAAGTTGAATTGTTTCACTACCAACAAAAGGAACAGATTCCTCATGTAATGAGTATTCATTTAAGTTAATACTTATAAGAATAGATCTTTCTGAAAAGAATAATCAAAATCAATATTTATTGCTACTTCAAAAATTTGTTGTCAAACTTTAAAAAATATCACAGTTAATTTGGGATTTTGTAAATTAATGTTAACGTTTATGGAATCAAAGGAGAGATTTTTGTCCATACCTCTTTATTTTACAGATTAAATACCTAGAGATTTAGCTAACTTCAGCTTTGGCTGTATTATTTTGGTTCTGCGTTTTTATTTATTATATTTTTTATTTTCTTAATTGAATTTTAGAGAGAGAGAAAAGGAGAGGGAGGGAGGGAGAGAGAAACATCAATGTGAGAAAGAAACATCAATCGGCTGCCTCCAGAATGGCCCCTACTGGGTATTGAGCCCACAACCCAGGCACGTGCCCTGATCTAAAATTGAACCAGCAACCTATCAATGCATGGAACGACCAGCTGAGCCACACTGGCCAGGCCAATCGGTTCTGGTTTTTCATGAAATATGATCATTTGTGTATGCTCTTGTATAAATTCTTTTACTTGTATTTTGAATCTCATTTCATTTCTGAGTATCCTACCATTTTATTTTTATTTTCAGTATATTCTATCAAGAGTGAATAACAATTTACTCAGTCTTATTTTTGAATATTTAGATTATTTCCAGATTTTTATTATTATAATGCTTTGATGAATATCCTTGAGTTTAGTCCATTGCTTATATTTATTATTTAGAAAGTTAAAATTGCTGGATCAGAGCACATTCTTTTTTTAAGGTTCTTCATAAATGTAAAAATTTTTTTTTGGAAACTTTTCTTGGGTTCTTATATTTATTTTCTTAGAAAATGATTATGAAAAATTTAATTCTTTATATGGAAATAAACTTAAGGGACTGCAAATAAAAATTTACAAAATGGAGATTGCTATATTCTTAAAAGATAATTTATGTAATGTTAAAGACAAACAATTGATGGTTGTATTGGTTTTGTTTGTTTGTTTTTATAGGTGTTGCGCCTCCCTCTTTTATAGCCATTAAGGCAGGAACAACACTGTATCAGCTTACAACAGCAGGGGAAGCTGTTTCCTGGAACTCAGTATTTGTCCTAATGATTTTGGCTATTCTTTCTATACTGCCAGCCATCTTCCAAAAAAAACTAAAGCAGAAATTTGAGTGAAAAATCATCTGGGTTTTAGTTTTCCTATCATCATCATCATCATCATCTCAGGACTGGCTGGTTTATTTGTTCAAATCACTTCTTCAGTAATTGAAACGAGGAATTTGTAAAATAAAATTTCCTATTAAACAGTTAATGCATTTAAGTAGCAAAGGAGAGTAGAAAGAATGGAAATTAATATACCATAAAAAGTGCTATCAGTAGTTATAATAGCCATCTTCTAAATTATTTTATTCTAAGAGTAGCTATAACTAAAAGTAGCATTGGTAGGAAATTTTTGACCCAATTAGTTAATTTAATTTATTCATGAATTGGCTATAAATACTTATCTTTGGCTTGATATTTTAATATTTTTCTTTCTTATCCCTTACTAATAAAGTAGATATACAAAAGCAAAAATTCTACATTTTTAAAAATAGTATTGTAGCTCTGGCTAATATCAACCTTCTTTCAGAGCATAAACTTTCGGAGCATAAAGTATTCAAAAGAGATTTGCATCTTCCCTCTTACCTTTATGGTAATAGATTTGTTTAGAAGTTGAATCTTAGTGTACTACTGAATTAGGAAAGGATATCAAGTTATACCTATGTAGGGAATTTTTTTTTTTTTTTTTTTTTTTCTGTTCCAGATTATCATGGATTCATTGAAATGTAAAATTCTGACCAATATATTTTCATCTTCTTTTTCTAGCTTTCACAGTATTTCCATTGTGCATATACAAAATGGTGATTACATGATAATTGTATCATATTGGTGTTGATAATTTATATTCAGATAATATTTTGTTACACAGTTCCCTCTTACTATCTCAAAAGAGGATCAAAAAAGCAAACATTTAACATGCAGTTTTTAGATATTATATTAATTATATTACTTTATATTTTGAAACAGTGACAGCATAACACTTAAGTGGTTAAACATAGTTTATTTGTTCCAATGACTAAAATTTACCTAATTTATTTATTAGTCTGGTCATTAAAGTCTGTATTATGTAATTATCCTTTTTTTATGCATGATAGACTTATAAGAATGCTTTGTTTAATTTCTATTAATGCTTTTTTGTTTGGGGTTACTTTTAGTTAATGCAGTGTTTGTACTTTTTATAACTCAGTATAATTCTCACATGGTAACTACTATATTTAAATGAAACAGCTTTTTGCTGCTTGCTTAATGGTAATATACTTGATTCTAGGACATAACTGATCTAAAGTAAAGTACTCTGTCAGTTTTACTTTCAGTTAACACTGTCATGTTGAAAAGTACTTTTAACTGTGGGAGAAATCCTTGTATGTTTTTATTGTGAGAGGTATGATGATCCTCAAAGCCTGTTTCTACTACATAATGTGGACTGATTATTTTTTCTATCACAGTATTAACAAATGGATTTATTGTAAATACAAAGAAAATATATTGATTAATATACTATTCTTATGTCACCTGGCCTTTGTGTGAAATTATTTATTATTATATCTAGCAAGGTTTTCTTCCTTTCTTATTGACCAGAGACTGATAAGCTTTTGTTATTTTTACATGTAAATTTAAAACAATATTTTGAACAAAGGTCATTAAATATTATTGTATAAAATGTAATTGAATAAATTTTTATCAGACTTTTTAGAAGAGGTCTCACTATTCACTCCAGTGTGTATATATTGTACTTACTCTATTCTCAGAGTATTTTCCCTGGTCTTATCATTGATTCTTTTCTTTGTTGATTTTTTTTTTTTTTCTGTTAGAAAACTGTAACTGTCACTCAAAGTGGGGTATTTTTTCTCTCAGGAGAATAGCCAACCTTTGTAGATTCATCATCATTGATTGCCAAGAAAGAATCCTGTAGCAGGCTATACTCTAAATGCAGTTGGTGCCCATATTCACAGATTCACTTACTTGGCCTGATGCCAGATGTAGATTTAAGCTTCAGCCACATCTTGAAGACAATTACATATAATAACCACAGAGAGTAAGTATGTGAGTGAGGAGGCCTACGAGCTAACTATGAAATTGACATACTGACTGAGACTGTACGCCTCTTAATAGCCTCTCTCTGGAATTTTATTACCTTCAGTGTAATATTTCTAAGACACTTAATAAATGCAAACTAAAATGTAATAATAAATTATACTGAAAAGATTAAATGTAGTATTTGGTTGTTGTTTTTTTATGCTTAGTAATTGCATTGAAACACCTTTCATCAAATAAAAATATATTCTCTTGAGATTCTGATGTGCACTTTCAAGAACAAAGAAAAATTTACAGCCAAAACCGTTTTGGCTCTGGATAGAGCATCAGCCTGTGGACTGAAGGGTCCCAGTTTCTATTCCGATCAGGGGCGCCGTACCTTGGTTGCAGGCACATCCCCAGTGGGGGGCATGCAGGAGGCAGCTGATAGATGTTTCTCTCTCATAGATGTTTCTGGATCTATCCCTCTCCCATTCTCTGTAAAAAAAAAAAAATCAATAAAATATATATTTTTAAAAAATAAAAAATATTTACAAACCTTAAATTTTGCTCTCAGTCATCTGACTGATATCATGGCTGCCCCAGGAGAACCCCAAGTTCAGTTCAAACTTGTATTGGTTGGTGGTAATGATGGGACTGAGAAAAAAAAAAAAACCTTTGTGCCAAAACCGGTTTGGCTCAATGGATAGCCTGGATTCGATTCCTGTCAAGGGCATGTACCTTGGTTGCGGGCATATCCCCAGTAGGGGGTGTGCAAGAGGCAGCTGATCGATGACTCTCCCTCATCGATGTTTCTAGCTCTCTCCCTTCCTCTCTGTACAAAATCAATTAAAAAAAAACAAAAAACCTTTGTGACGGGTGAATTTGAGAAGTATGTAGCCACCCTGCACATGGTGGTGCACCCCCTCATGTTCCACATCAACCGAGGGTCCATCAAGTTCAATGTGTGGGACACTGCTGGACAAGAGTTTGGGAGCTTCGAGATGGCTATTACATCCAAACCCAGTAACTTTGAGAGTTAGTTACAAGAATGTGCCAAACTGGCATAGAGATCTGGTGTGTGTGCATGTGAGAACATCCGCATCGACTTGTGTGGCAACAAAGTGGACATCAAGGAGAGGAAAGTGAAGGCAAAATCAGTTGTCTTCCACCGAGAAAACCTTCAGTACTACAACATTCCTGCCAAAAGTAACTACAACTTTGAAAAGCCCTTCCTTTGGCTTGCTAGAAAACTAATTGAAGACCCTAACTTGGAGTTCATGGCCATGCCTGCTCTTGCTCCTTCAGAGGTTGTGATGGGCTAGCGCTGGCAGCACAGATGAGCATGATCTAGAGGTTGCTCAGACCACCGAGCCCCCAGACGAGGGTGATGACCTGTGAGGGAAGCTGGAGCCCAGCGTCAGGCAACTGTCCTGTGATGTCAGTGGTGCTGCACGTGTTTGCCACTTTATTATATAGTTAATCAGAATCTGCTTGATTTTTGGGATCCTGAAAGGTGGTTTGGAGTGAATGTAGCTGTTTTGGGACGCAGGTGTTTCCTTATTGAGTTTCAACTATTAAGAAAGCTGCATCACAATATTCAGTGGTGAAACCTTGTTTGTTGCTGTCATTCCCATTTTTTTCGTTTAGAATCAGAATAAAGTGTATTTTAAATTAAAAAAAAAGAAACCTTAAATTTTTTATAGTTGACTTTAAAAAAGGTTTATTTTTAAAATGTATTTTTATTCGCCGGGACCGGTTTGGCTCAATGGATAGAGCATCGGCTTGGGGACTGAAGGGTCCCAGGTTCGATTCCAGTCAAGGGCATGTACCTTGGTTGCGGGCACATCCCCAGTAGGGGGTGTGCAAGAGGCAGCTGATCGATGACTTTCATCGATGTTTCTAACTCTCTATCTCTCTCCCTTCCTCTCTGTACAAAATCAATAAAATATATTTTAAAAAATAAAATGTATTTTTATTGATTTCAGAGAGGAAGGGAGAGAGAGAGAGAGAAACATGAATGATGAGAGAGAGCCATTGATCAACTACCTCCTACATTTACCTTTAACTGGAATTGAACTTGGGACCCTTCAGTCTGCAGGCTGATGCTCTAGCCACTGAGCAAAACCAGCTAGAACTATAGTTGACTTTTGAAAATCTTAAATTTAATGTTCTCTTTGGCTTTTAGAAACTGGCAGAATAAATAAAAAGGGGCTGAAGCTTTTTCGGTGTGTAAATGATCATTGATTGTCAATTATATGTGTAAAAGGTGCTAATGCAATAAAGACATTATGAACACTGACTACACACACACACACACGCGCACACACACACACACACATATATATATATATATTTTTCTATATAATAAAAGGCTAATATGTAAATTGTCTCCTTGGGTGTTTGACTGCTTGTTATGACATGTGCTGACTACCAGGGGGTGGCAAGGAATAAAGGCAGGTCCCGATTGGCCCTGATTGCCAGCCAAGTCTAGAGACCCTTCCCATGGCAAAATTTTGTGCACCAGGCCTCTAGTATGTATATCCTATCTAATAATGAGGGAATATGCAAATTGACCACACCATCACAAAGCTGATGGCTTGTCTTCTTGAAGGAAAGATTTCAATTAAGAGACAAAGTGCAGCAAAGCAAGTGAGAGTATTGGCCACAGCAAAAACACACTTAGGACAGTGAAACAAAGAAGGCTTAGAAGAAGCAACAGGAGAACCTAGCCTGGGCTGCTTTGACTCACTGGAAAGTCAGAGAAAAGAGGGCCTTGGAAACAGGTTCTAGGAGTCAGGCCAGGACAAGCTGCAGCTACCCATAACTCCCTGGTTGTAAGGTCTCCTGGGGTCTTTTAGAGGGAAGAAAGGGGGAAGGGAATGGTGCAGGCATGCTCACCTGGGGTATTTCTCTCTCTCTGGCAGGTGAGAATCTTAGGGGAGGGTTTTAATAAATTGTTCATCAGCTTTCCAGATGTGCTCTTTCAGGGTCATGGTCGCCAATGATTGGTCAGTGCCAGGGCAGGCACTGTGACCTTCTGTACTTGGCCCATCGTATTT